TAGTCATCAAAAAGGGAGAAGAGCATTAGATTGTTTCACCTGTGGGTTAATGGACTAGCCAATACAGAATTTTGCTTTAAATGAGAACAAATAGAAAAAAGAGTTTTAAACTGGGAAACAAACATGATATCAAAGGTAGGACATTAAATATAAATTGCTTTGTTAGTAGAATTATCTCATAATGATGTGTTATACAAGAAATTTGGCTCATGTGGTGGATTCTGTCTCTTCAACGGTGATACAGCAAAGGCACACAAGACTTCAGAAGGTGTTAAAAATCAATCTATATTCAGTTGTGCATCTATTGGGATTAGCTCTAAAACTTCAGTGCAAGAGAGTCTCTAGGCAAGATGAGCACCATTGGAACGATCTATAAAAGACTAACACAGATGCAGAGAAAAAGAAGAGGAGACTGATAGATAACCTTTTGAATTCAAAAGAATCTGACATTTGATGCTGTATTCTCCTTACAGTTTTCAGAACATTGCTCAGCATTCACTTGACTTGATTAAATTTCAGAGCTGAGATAATATCAAGTTTTGTAAGGATATATGAGTGTGCTATTTGAAGAAAGGAGTTTTGATCCATGACTTTTACCCAGTGGAATTCTGAGAGATGAGACTTTCCTTTCCTTTTGGAGTAACTGGTTGCTGGTTTGAGCACTGCAGGGCTGTTCTGGAAGCACATGATCACTGCATGGAGAAATATATAGGACCCTTCGTAGCCATCTCCCATCGGTATGGTGCAAGCTGTGTATTCAATCACACTGTCAGAACAATGACAGCTAGAAGAAGGGACCCATAAAGCCATCCATCAAGCCCTGAAATAGCTAGCCCTTTACTTGTCTGGAGTTATTTACTAGTGGTTGATGAAGACACAGTTGAGTGAGGCAGGAGCTTATGAAAAGTCTTGACTTTCTGTTTTGGTGAGAAGGTCATTTTGAAAGAGGGTATGGTAAATCCTTAGGTGCATCCGAATCTAACCTCTTGTTAATTTGGCAAAACAGCACTAAAATGTTAAACTTTATTCGAAAGGGTTTTGGCTCTGTATTTAAAAAAAAAAATCAAATTTTGTATCACTTGATTTTAGAGCAGAAAATGGAGTCATTAGAGCATATAAATCATTTTAGCCCTGACAAGAACCCAAGAAAACCTAAACTGAGAAAGTCCTTCTAATTAGATTTAATTCTTTGAATAAAAAATTACAATCTCCATCCTTAGTCATCATCTGTAAAGATACATATATGACAAGGTGTCCCTCAGTGCTAATGTGTCTGTTATCTTTCTGTCATCTGTTATAACTTGAGATAATCGACCAATAAGCAGAATGTGTTTATTTTCTCATAATTTTGAACTTTTCAGTCCCTGTCTAGTAGACTCATTGATTTTGGGCCTGTGGTGAGGCAGCATATGATGGTGGGAGCATGAGAAGGAAGTAACTACTCAGGTTGTCATGACTGCCATACAGGACATGAGACATTCTAAAGACCTCTCACCAGGCCCTTATCCCTAAAAGTTTAAATCCTCCTTAGTAGTTCCTGCATGGAGACTTAACCTTTCACCTGGAGACATTTTTTTGGGGGGGGGGCATCTAAGAGCTAAACTATAGCATTTTCTAGATATTCTTCAGTTGTCGGGATTGGATCGTCCTTAGATGGGAGCTATTAGGTGGCGTCATCTGCATATTAATAATGGACTAGAGCAATGCAGAAGTTTGCTTTATAAATTAAAGACACAAAATGAAGACAGCTTTGAACTAGAGGACAAATGTGCTCTCTGTTGGTCATAAATCTTGGCCATTTCTTTTTAATCTCCCATTGAATACAGAATTCAACAAAGATTAGCTATCTAGTTAAAAAAGAATTCTGTGATTAAAATCTTTGTAAGATTAACTGATGATTCAACTTTCAGATAGGTGATCATGCCATCATCACATTGAACTATAAGAAATATTATTTAATCAGATATAATGATCTTCAAATATATTCTGCCTAATGAGTAGGTAGCTTGCAGAAGCTTGCATCTGATTTGCAAAGTCACAGATACATTTAAAGCCAAGTTAGTTTGTGTTTTCTTCTTCATAAGTGTCTTAAATGTATGACCCAAGCTTCTAAGAGTTTTAATTTAGAAAAATCTATCATAACTTTCGAATTTGGTTTCAGCTAGTGAGAATAAAATATTGTATACTTCTTTTAGCTGATAGCCATCTGCTATAGAAACATTCAAATGTCAGCTCATCAAAATTTAAAAGGACTTCCTGAACAGAAGTTCACAGAAATTCAAGAAACTTTAATGGAACTTCTGTTGTAAAATGATGCTGTCTTGGCTTTAGGCTAATCCTTAAAACACACCTACAAATCCATCTCCCAAAATGTCTGCTACAGAGAAGGAGCTGGGTTGGTTTTACAATTTTTATGGCAAAGGTTAAAATAAGTAATTTCCACAGCAGCTGTCGACATCCAGTATGTCTTGGGAGGCTGTTTCCCCTAGAGGATTTTATTTCTTCAAATGTCATAATTAGAATTTCATCCCCAGTGACTACTCAAGGGAATCTGGCAGCAGGAGACAGCATGGGTCACATTTTAATTAGGGATGCATCCTTCCTTTCTGAAGGGCCAGAAGCTGGTTGATAGTCATGTCACAGGAATCCTGATGCACTGTGAATAATTAAATATTCTTTTCAGTGGAGAGCAGTTGTTTCCTTAAAATTCAGAACAATTTATCAGAGCCTTAGCAGACTTCTCTGTCCCAGTGAAAACCGATGGGTTGAAAAGAAGTAGATTTCCAGGCAATTAGAGCAGTGGCTTGTGCTCACGTTCCTGCGTTATCCATGACAGATGTACAATAACGGAGGATACTCTTATGCATGCATTTATTTATTTTCTTCCTTTTATTAAACATTCATTGAATATCAACTTTGATGCTGAGAGCTGAACTTACTCTTGGGGGAGGCTAAGTTAAACAACACTGTCTTTTACATAAGAGAGGCATACCTGGGTTTGGTCATGAATTATTATTAAGTGAATAATTTAGTCGAGTTATATACCTAGTGCTTTGGGGACATCAAGAAAGAAGCAATTAATTCTACTTGAAGAGACAGGAAAGAAATGATGTGGAAAGTGGAATCTCAGCTGAGCTGTAAAGGATAATATGTAGAAAAGAATGTGTTAGACTGACAAGGATTAGTAAATAAAATTGTTTCTGTAGAAACAAGGGATGGTTGGAGCACCTGTGGTTGTTGTATGGAGGATACAATGTGCACTCTTTTAGGTAAATCGAAGATACACATACATTCCAGGGCAGAGTTCTTTTAATATAGGCAGAAAAGGAGATGTTATGGGCAAGAAATCTGTCTTTGCCAAAGGGCCAAAGTTATGAGATGACATTGATCTTCTCTGACCTTAAAATAGCCAAACAAGACTTTTGAGAAGTTTCATCTTTTATTCCAACTTGCCTGAGAAAATGAATCATTCTCCCATTTTTTCCCATGAAGTGAAAAAGATTAGTTCATCCATACAATGAAATATTACTTAATAATAAAAAGAAACGAACTATTGAGACATGCAAGCAAAGGGATGAATCTCAAATGTATTTTGCTAAGGGAAAGTAGCCTGAGAGAAAAGAGTAGATGATGTATGTTTCCATTTATATGAAATTCCAGAAAATGCATAACTATAGTTATAAAAAGATAATTTGGTAGTTGTCAGGTTACAGTGTAGGATTGATGATATTAGCTGAACTGGAGCATGGATGAATGATTGGGAGAGACAGAAATGTTCTGTCATAACTGTGATGATGATTACAAAGCTATCGTTCTAGGAACTCATCAAATTATGTGTTTAGAACTAGTAAATTATTGCTTATGAATTATGGCTCAAATAAGCTTAGGGCAATGTTGAGGGCAGAATGGGTTAAACATATAGTTCTAAAGAAACAATAGACTTTGCATAAAAAGCATCTAGTCAGAGGCCACTGGACTGTCCTCCAACAGTGGGAACAAAGGAGTATTTGGGACTCTTAAAAATGTTTAAGTTAAAATATAAGTATCGAAGTGAGAAATAATAGAGTAAAGCTACAACGCTGTTGCAAGCTTTGCATATATTAATTTTTTGTTTTTCACGACAACAGTGTGTCTCATTGCTCCTCTTATTTATCAGATTAGGAAACTGAGGCCCAGGCATGTTAATTTGTTCATGACTAGAAACCTACTCAGTTTAAGAGTCAAGGTTGAAATTACACAGTCTGGACATGGTATATTAATATGAATTATATGCGATATTCATTGTATTAAACAACCAATTTAATTTACTACATTGCCTATAATCACAAACACATTATATTTGACTCTTTTATTATAAATTTAATAGAGGGAATAGTTAATATTCAGGCCCGGGCATTTTGATGTTTTATGTTTTCTTACTTGGGTTTATTACTATTCTCATTTATATCATTATAGAGCCCTGATGTAGCTGGATATAACCAGAGGGAATGGGTTTTCAAGAAATATTTTAGAACACAGTGTTATATTAGAATTTATTAACTAAACACATTGCTGTTTTCCATTTTAATGCATTTGGGTGTCAAAAAAATCTATATTGTTCTGGTATAAATGATATCCACAAAGGATCAATCATTGATACTGGAGAAGTGACCAAATGAAGATGGAAAGGAAACTGCATGTCACCGACAAAGAGGATGATCACAATCAGGCATGAGTACAGTCTTGTGAATCACTGGGTGTTAAGGAGACCCACTAAAGTGGACCACACATTTGCATACATAGGAGCATCATGTAAGGACGTCTTCTGAGTATATTATTACACTGCCGAGTTAACTGCGGAGCTTATGAGCCATGATCTATATTTTTGAATTACACTAGGAAAGTCTATTAAATCACACATAAGTGCTGGGAATCTGGCCTCTGCATCTAATTTCTTATTTTGTATGAGTAAGAGAAAGATTCTCGGTAGTTACCTGACAGCTAAACCTTTCCTTTGGCAGTTTCCAAAAATCGAGGCTGGAATGATGAACAAAGAGAGCACTGGCAAGCCAATCATGCCAGCTGGGATAACCTTCAGGCTGTAAGTAATAAAATCCATATTTAATACATATCTTATTGGTGGGACTCTTTTTCTTGGATCAGAGCTTAGATGGTGCAGATGGAGTTGAACAAAAACTATAATGCTGATAACTTTATAAAAAAGCTGCATTAATATTGGAGACTCGAGTGTAGTATTGGTAATAAGGATCATATGAGGGTCAGCAGATGCCAAGGAAGAAAAATGGAATACAACTAACATCTCCTTCCCCCAAATATAGTTCCACCACAAACAGTGCCAGCATCAAATATGACTCCAATAACATCAAGATATTTTACCTCTCAACACATGTTTCATAACATTTTTCAGTGTTACTAAAAGGCAGTGCCAAAGACGACAAAGAACCGACTTGTATTTTAATCTCATTAGCATACTGCAGTGACAAAAGCTGCATCCTCTGTGGAAAACAAGAAAGTGATACTAAGTAGGAATGTCTTTTTTTAGGGACTAAGTAACCCTGAAATATTTGCCTGTCTTTTCTTGGTTGCTTTGTCAGAAACAGAGACCATTTGGTAAATAAGTATATTAATTACATTAAATTCAGGAGATAGTACTAATAAAGCAGTTGTAAGGGTTAGCAACTCATTATATCTGAAAGAGAAAGGTGATTGAATGGTGTCTTGGTTATTTTTTCTTTCTTTTTTATCTCTTTTATTTTGGTGAGTTTTGTCAGTCTAGTTTATAATTCATGAGAAGAGCAAGACAGTTCCATGTTCTCATCAAAGGGATTGTAGAATTGACACAAAACTTTTAAAAATGGTGCCTGCTGTGGTTTGGGTCTGAAATAGCCAAACATGCTCAAGTATTTGATCATTTGGTCGTCAGATAGTGGAGCTGGCATGGGGGGCATATTGTAAGCAGAGCTTAATGGTCCGTTCTTCTGGGAGTTCAGAAGACCATTCGGAGTCAATTGAGAGGTGAACAGTCAGACTGACTTCAGAAGACTTAGGAGGGGAACGAGAAACATATTGGAATTGGACTAGAGGTCATTTGTGTTACGTATTTTATTTTATGGAGGAAATTTCAGCATACTGTAACATCCAGGCTATGGTAAGCTTACGTTTCTTCTGAGACCCCAGCGCAAAACGCTGGGCAGACAGCTGTAAAACATGAGCAGCGTGGTGAAGAACGAAAAATAGATGCATTGAAAGTTGCAGGCAAGATGTTGACAAAGTGGTTGTGATTGTTAATGAGATTAATATCATGAAGGGAAGGACTCACACACTTGCATTGGTACACAAAAAAGAGTAGAACCATCACATGGAAGGTTCTGGAGGGTAAGCAAGCATTAGTTAGAAAGACCTGCTTTTAAGAAGAGGACCTGGAAGGATGGTCCCCATTGTACCCTGCTCCAACATGGCTTCTATGGAGCTGTCTCCTCAGCTTATATAGTAGAATGCCACAAAGTCCTAGAGATGAGGATATGGCAGACTTTGAATGCCATTTGGATAACTTTAGATAATCCCTACCTTCTTAAGATGGCATCAAACTATATCAGGTTGAGTTTTGAGGACTGATGAATAGATACTGTGAGGTCCTTTCCCCAAACAAGGCTACTCAGTGGACCCCAGCTTAATCCCCTAACTGGTTGGAAGGCAGACTGAAGCTTCCCAGAGTTTGGAAGGCCAAACACTAATAGAGTGAGTGGGAACTCTCCCTGCCATCATTTACCTCACAATAGTTGCTTCTCATACTGGCTGGGAAGCAGGGGACACAGCTGTAGGTGTAGTTGGAATTTTCTTTGGGGCACCATCAGCTGTCAAATAGGGACATGGAGAAAGACATGGAGACTTATTATTCACTATGAAAGCTCGGCCTTAGCTTAGGTCGTCCCACTAGCTCTTTTATCTTAATTTAACCTGTTTCTAGTCATGTTTCTATGTTTTGCCTCAGGGCTTCTTGCCTTTCTTTCATTCTGTATGTCCTATTTTCCTGCTTCCTCCATGTCTGTGTGGTTTGGCCCCTGGTTCTCCCTCTCTGGTGTCTCTTTATTTCTCCCCACCCAGAGCCCAAATTCCTCCTCCTACTTCCTCTCCCTGACTAGAAATCCCATTTATTCCTTCTCCCTCACTATTGGCTATTCATTTTTTATTAAACCAGTTAGGTGCCTTAGGCAGGTAAGGCAAAAAGCAATACATCTTTGCATATTTAAACTAACGTGCTGCAACATGTAGGGGTATGCTGGGAGATGTGAACCCCCAGATCCTGAATTTCTTGTAAACAACTTGTTTTCCTCTGTTTGAGACAGCCTGCAGCTGCTCTGAGCAGGAGACTTTCAGGAGTTCCTGATGGCGGGGGAGTGGTTTCTGGTGCGTTTGGCTGGGGCGTGGCTATCAATTAAGGATCTCTATATAAGCAGCTCTGATACACAATAGGGGGGCATTCCTGTTTCAAGGATGATCCGTGTCTCTGTCTGTGTGTCTTTGTGTGTTTCAGTCTCCAGCCCCTTGCCCAGTTCACGAACTGTATGGCAGCTCATAGAGCTCGGACAGGCATTGTGCGCTACAGGGGTACAATTTCTTGTTTATTCTGTTGTCCTGTTCTCTGTGCCTAACATGGCTCCAGTCTTTTCCTTAGTTCCAAGTTTCTCAAAGTTCCTCATCTCAAAATGCAGTTACATACATGATTCCTTATTTCACTTTATTTAGAAAGATGTGAAGCAAGGGCTCCTTTCGTCAGCCCTCTTGGAATCTTCCCTTTGGTCTTGTTCCAACAGGGTCACGGATTAATCTGTCCTGATGCTGATATTCTACACAGTTGTTTATGCCCAGCAAGGACATAATACAGCTATTGGCTGCAAGACCAGATAACAGCCATCAGCTGTCACGATTTGCTGTTGTATTTTTCTAGGTTTTTTTACATTTATCAACTCACCTTTCTGTGGTGAGACAGCCTGCAGTCATTTTTTTTAGGCAACAACTTGTGTTAGTTATTATTCATAACAATGCTTGTGCAGGACTATAAAATCCAGATAGAAACTTGTGCATGTGTTCAAAGAGGCAATTGTTCAGACTTGTTGCCAAATGGAAATTAATGCACTGAGTGTAAAGCTATGATGGTTTATGTATACAAACCACTGAACGAGAGTAGATTAATGGTAACAGACAGTGTTGGGTAACGGGAATGGAGAGCTATTGAAAATGGGGTGGTATTTTCTTTTATGTCTGCATTCCATCTGAGGTTAATAGGCTTAATTTTCATAAGGGTCCATTTGAGAAGAGCATTTAAGCCACACCTTCTTCCTTTTCAACATGGTGTACATTGCAGCAGCAAGAAACTACCTATATTTTGTACATTGATTGTTTTTTCTTTTTAAAGAACTTTCATCATTTTAAAAGTGAATGTAAAGATTCTAAAGTATTTTGGGATTCTTTAGATATAATCCACTTACGTAGTTGGCTTTTTTCGTTAACTTTCCCAGAGCACTGTGACTTTCATTATCACACAAAGATATTACAAGACACCAGCTTGCCTCTGTCACTCCACAGGAAGCCATTGACTTCTGGACCCTACCATGACTCAGAGAGTCATTCTCACTCAGTTTCACACACTCAGAAAACTCAGAGTAAAAGAGAACTGAGACAACTCAGGAAAATTCCTCTTACACAATTCAATCTCACCCTGGACTCCTGTACAAACCCAGTACAGAAACTTGAAGTTGCAAAGAATTGGTTAATTTTATGCATCAGATTGATTGGGCTATAGGGCACCCAGATATTTAATCAAATTTTGACCTGTGTCTGTAAAAATATTTTAGAGAGAAACTAACATAGAGATTAGTTAATTGATTAGAGGCAATTCCTTTCCCTAATGTGTGTGACTTTCTGTAATCTATTAAAGATATAATGGAGTAGAAATTCTGAGAAGAAAAGAATTTCAGGTGCCTGATAATTGACTTGGAACCCCATTTTTCCTCTGCCCTTGAAATGAGTTTCTTAATGCCTAGGCTTTAATACATGGAGTAGAGTTCATACCTTCAACTCCTGTGTCTCTGTCTCTCTGCTGCAGATCTTAGGACTTTTCAGCCTCTATAGTTATGTGAGCCAAATTCCAATTTATATTCTCTCTCTCTCTCTCTCTCTCTCTCTCTCTCTCTCTCTCGTCTATCTCTCCTTATTATTTTCTTTCTTGGTTAAGAATCTTGTCATATGGATAAACATAAGACATAACTTGATAAACAGGGTAAGTAGATTGTTACATACTAACAATATTTATTATAGTATACATGAAGCGCACTAATCATTGGTGGCACCAGTGTTCTCTGTATCTAGAAAGGATGGATACCTATATTTCTCTTTACCCATGTAATATTTTTCTTTTGAGATTATTGCTAGCTGTTTTCTGTCACAATGCATATTGTGTGTTTATATGCCAGCAACACCCCTTTTTTTTTTAAAAAAGAAAACACGCTTTTTCATGTCACATACCAATCCCAGTTTTCACTTCCTCTCCTCTTCTCATTCCCTCCAATTTGCCCCCATTCCACTCCCCAACCACTCTCAGAGAGGGTCAGGCACATTGCCTGCAATATTATAATATAATACAATCGTATAAAATGTGCAGGTCTCTTTTACTGCAGACGATAGGTTAAGAAATAAACATAAAAAAAAAACGCAAAAAGAGTCCGGTTTTATCCCATGCTTTTTCAGTCGCAGTCCAGCGGGCCTTGGTGAGCTCACAATAGATCATCCCCACTGTCTCCGTGGGTGGGTGCACCCCTCGTGGTCCTGACTTCTTTGCTCATATTTTCCCTCCTTCTGCTCCTCCTTGGGACATTGGGAGCTCCGTCTGGTGCTCCAGTGTGGGTCTCTGTCTCTATCTCCATCCATCTCCAGATGAAGGTTCTATGGTGATATGCAAGATATTCATCAGTATGGCTATAGGATAGGGTCATTTCAGGTTCTCTGTCCTCAGCTGCCCCAGGAACTAACTGGGGACATCGCCCTGGGCACCTGGGAGCCCC